GCCGGGGGCCTGGTGAGGGGCCGGGGTCCGCTGCGGCCCGAGGGTTTGGTGCCGCCGGGAGGGGGAAGCCTTGGGGCGCTGCTGGCGGCGGGTCGGCACCGCCTGAGCGTCTGGGATGGCGCTGAGCGGGGGCCGTGGCCTCTGGGGCTGGGTGGGGTGTTGGGGAGCGCTGGCACTGGGGGGGGTGTCCCCGGGCTCGGGGTTTGACGGGGGTGACCGTCGGGATGGGGTCGGAGGGCGGGCCCTGGCGCTTTTGTTGCGGTAAATCCGGTCTCCAAAGAGCCCCCTAAGGCTCGGTTTGAAGTTTGCGAGGCGGGCATTCTCTATTGCAGCGCCGGGTGCGCGGGGGATCGTCCCACCTAACGTGGGTGCCGCAAGACACAGGCACGCTTACTAGAGACAATAAAAGGAATGAATATTCCTGTAATTTCCCAGAAGCACACGCCTGTGTGCAGAGAATCTAATCCGTATGTTAACACATTGTGCAAGCGTGCTAAAATTCGGGGAAGGGTCTCTGAGGGGCTCCCGCGGGGGGTTCGGTGCTCTGGGCTGGTCCCTAGAGGCTGTTGAAGAGGCGTCTCGTAGTGTCCTTTCCGTGAACTCCCAGTCTTTTCATACAAGGTCTTGTCTTGGCTCATTGCTCTGTCTGTGAAGTTTCTCAGCTTTCCTATCTTTGGCTTGCGCAGGTGTCTGCTGGGGTTTTTTGCCCTTTCCGGGATGTCCCCATCGCAGTTGCAAAAACTGTGTCCTTGGGTGCGTTCTGGTCCGAGGCCCCTTACAGCAATGAGCACCAGCTCCTTGCAGGCGTCACTCTGTGGGGGAAGGCAGGGCCGGGGCTGGGCGAGGGGGGAGTGTCTGGTGCTGCTGGTGCTGGGCTGTGCAGGGGAGAGCTGGGGGGCTCTGGGGCTCAGGTGGGGGTGGGGCATTTCTGGGTTTAGGGGAGGCTTGGTGCTGCTGGGGTTGGGCTGTGCAGCAGCGGCTTACCTGGGCTTGGTCCGTGGGGTGGCATCGTGCATTTGGGGCTGGGAGGGGCTGGGGACAGAGTTGGGCTTGGGGGAGCTTAATGCTGCTGGGGCTCGGGGTGGGGGCAGCCCTGGGTTTTGGGGTGCTGTTGGGGCTGGGATTGGTCTGTGTTTGTATGTGTGGTTACCTTTAGTCTGCTGGGTGGGACTGGTGATTTGTTGTCCTCTTTCTCCCCTGACCTGAAGCATTGTTTGGTGTTTGCAGCAAGGTGCTGTGTAGGGACATAGTGGAGGGGTGGTGGGTCAGTGTGTTTTGCTGCAGTTCTGATTTTGCCTGTCTGTTTTACAGGTGTGTTAAGGCTTGCAAATTAGTCCCTTCTGTGCCAGCAGTGGCCTCCTGGCTATTCCTGGGCTGAGATGAGCAGCTGTTAGAGCAAAGTTGAGCTTGACTGCTTGCTTAGATGGTCACTGACATGGCTTATTTGTTCCAAAGTCAGCTTTGGGCTCTCTGTGCTTGCAGCATGTTGTAAAAATGAATGAATGATTTGTGCAAGTCCCTCAAGCGTTTTATCAGTTGGGGTAATTTGCCTTTTTAAAAGTTTGTTCATACACCTGAAATTTGCATTTCTTGTTGCATCTTGTTCTTATTGCTACCTGCATTTTTTGGGATCAGTATGTGACTTGGTTCACCTGTCATAGAAACAAAATGGTTTTATTGTCCAAAGTGATTCTTAACCTATAGTGTCTGAACATTATTTTCTTCTAGGAAGACCCTTCCCTGGAGAGACACTTCAAAGGCCACAGAGATGCTGTCACTAGTGTGGACTTCAGTCTCAATAAGAAACAACTGGGTAAATTGTCTCTTTTTGTTTTGATGGCTAGATGATAAAGAAAGAGCTTCTCTGTTTTAGTTAAATGGAGGGAGCAGTGGATGTACTGAGCTCTATAAGAGTAATGGGCTTGATTTAATGATGAAGAAATTCTTTCAGCATTTTAGGATGAACATTTCTGTGTGCTTTGAAAAAAATCCAGTTGTTGAACCACAGGGGTGGAAAATTGTGTCCATCCTTCTAGAGCTTTAAGGACATCTACTGTTCCTTATTATTTCACATACCTGGCTTTACCATGCAGGGAACTTAAGGTAAAACCTTTATTTTTCTTCTCCACCTTCCATTTCTCCTCTTCAGACAGCTGCCAAGGCTTCTGTGCTAGCTGCTGTTTAGTAACCCACTGTGTATGCATTGAGTAGGAACCAGGAGGGGTTCTGGCTCTTGGGGAAGCTGCTGTTCAGTCTGTGTGGCATGGTGGGCATCGCTTTGGCTCGAAGAGCAGATAAGGCAGAAATCATAGCTTGAGGCAATATACCTACTAGGCAGCTGGGGCAATAGGCATGAGTAAGTAGAAGTGCATCAGTGTAGCAGATGATAATCTTGTTCTGGATCTTGTAACCTACACAACACTCTGATTTTAATTTCCTTGAAGATTCCAATCAGTCTTGTTTTGGACACTTTCTCTCCATGCTGCTCTTCTTATTGTTGTCTGCGATGTTTTGTTTCTACTTCCTGTGCCTTCACTTTATCTGGTCAGTGAACATCTCTGTTTAGCAAGGGAACTCTGAGCATAGTTAAGCATTGCTTTTGAATGGCCTTTCAGAAGTAGTATGGGAGCCTTTGCTGCCTCCATCTAGACTACGAAGTAGTTGCTCTTGGTATTTTAAGTAAATGAGATCAAGTAAAAAAGGAAACAAATCCTAAGAAATTTTCTAGGTACTGTTGGGTCAGTTATGTGTACTTGAGTCTTATGAGACTTCAAAGTTCTTCCTTCCCATTTCTGGCCTCCCCCCCAATAAAACAGCCAAACGTAGAGGAGTTGGTCTTTTTACTCTATTAGATTGCTTTCCCAGTCCAGTAAGGATAATTATTATTGCCAGCAAGTCATCTATAAGCAGTATCATGTTGAAGTGCTTTATTAAGATGTCAGAGCATTATTTTCCTTACATTTTTTAACGTCAGTCCTGGGGAAGCTGTGATATTGCAACTTAATATCCTTGCCAAACAGTGGCAGTGTAGTTATGACTAATGTTCAAATCTCTTGACACTAGGCTGTATGTTTATCTACTTTTACACAGTTGCCTCCCCTTAAATTTTAATATCCCTAAGGAAAGTGTTGTGTGTATGAAATACAAAACAACAACTGAACTGACAAATATATAAGGTTTTTTGTTTCCCTGTAAAGGACATGCATAATGAATGATCCTGTTTGAAATGGTCATGTAATAATCCCAAATCCATAGCAGGAAGACAGATGACTATTTTTTGTGTTAAAATGACTGTGAAATAGAAGGACAATTCCAGCAAAATCTATTTGGTATTTTGCCATAACACCAATGAACTGAAAGCTTGTACTTGTGATACTACCATATCAGAACCTACCATCAAACTACTTTTTTTTTTTTTTCTAGGAACATTTTAAGATCTCCCTGGAGATGTTGACATTTGGGTAGAGAGATAGAGATGCATCTTGGGTTTGTTGGCAGGCTAAAATGTGTATATTCTGTATTTGCCTGTGGAAAATCTACAGTTTTCTGTTACTTAAGCATTAAAATTGATTTGAAGGGGTATTTTTACTGTCATTGTTTGAGATGTTAAGTTGCCACAGGCATATGTTTGCCATTTTATGAATCACTAGGATTCCAGTGCTACATACTTCATATAGTATGACGGGCTTTAGGGGACGAGCAACTCTTCAGTTTTCACTGTGCTGAGTCACTGATGGGACCTGGCAGAGGAGTTTTAGACTGAAGTGGAATTTACTCTTGTGTTTGGGAAACCTGTTGCCTGGTTCTCTTGGCGAGGACAGATATGGCTCCTGTCAAACAGGGAGGGGGATGTAGCTTCTATGAAGTTTAGTGTCATGGAGATGAGCTGTCAGTTGTGCTTTCAGTAGATGTAGCATGTGCGCCTGAATTCTGCTTTCTACTTAAGTGATCCTTTGCTCTTGCTGCTGAGGGAGATCTTGAAAAAGCAGCATCTATGCTGGGGAATGGCCACCTTCCCATAAGTAGTCTGCCCCCTGAGGTCTCCCTCTAGCCCTTTCTCTTCCTTCTTGTCTTTAGAGCATGCCTTTGCTTTCTTCTACCCCTTTCATAGAAGCCAAGAGTAAAGGCAAGTTGTGGTGGTTGTTTGTTATTCCTGCAGCTGAGTATAGCAGTGGACATGAGTGGAAGAGTGGCTGTGGGTAGATGGAGTGACCCTATCTCTATCCATAGTTCTTTAAAACATCTCATGACTACTGTCAAGTCCTGCTGACCCTTCCTACTAATATCAAATTGAACACTGCTTTAATCACATTGTAAACTTGTATTTTTCATTTATTAAGAACTGCTGAGCTGACTTTGATCAATGTTTTGCAACAAGGGAGAGATGTTGGAAGGAGTTGTAGCTGGGTTGCCTTTAAGTCACCAACTCACAGAGCTTCTCTGCTTAATCTGTAGTGTGTTACTTGATATTTAACCTGCTACAGCTGATAGCTGACTCTGCTTTCCAATAAAAAAAGTGATGAGGAACCTTAATTCACAGACCTTCTATGTGTTTCCTTAGTATGTATTTATTTGGATGAAATTTTGCAACTTGTGTGGCTTTTACCTCTGTAGCTGTTGCATGACCTGACTTGGAAGTAAATTGTCAGTCCAAGCCAATGCATGACTGACTTTGAATTACTGATGAAATAACAGTATGTGATACGTTGGTGAAGCTTCAAGGACAATGTACTTGAGATTGCTGGAAGCTGTGATGGTGAACTGAGTGTGAAATGCAGTTTTGGAGTAATTGGAGAAGCACTAATGCAAGTTTGGTTTTGTGTGGTTTTGTTTTTCCTTTCTATTTCAGCAAGTGGCTCAATGGATTCATGCCTGATGATCTGGAGTATGAGGCCTCAGATGAGAGCCTATCGCTTTGTGGGCCACAAAGATGCTGTGATGTGTGTTCAGTTTTCCCCTTCTGGTCACCTGGTGGCTTCAGGCTCTAGAGACAAAACAGTCCGTTTATGGGTTCCCAGTGTGTAAGTATCTTCCTTTTATCTCTTGTGTTTTAATTATGGTTTGGGGTTTCTCCTTGCTTCTTGATAGCAGTTCTCCAGCTATGGGACTGGAATCTCTTTGAGGGAAGGAAGAACCACTTTATGTGACAGCTCTAACAGAGAAGTAGTAATTTGGCCTTGATATTGCACTGGAAACAAAACTAAAATCCTTTGCAAAGCTTAAACTCAGTATTAACTTCCTATGCTAATAGAACAATTCACTAATGTAACTCATCAGTGGTGAGATGTTGGATTTTTCTTCCCCTTTCTCCCCCAGCTTGTTTTTCCTCCTAGCAAATCAATCCTTTGCTTCTGTGCTAGTGTTAAACAAGATGATGAAACACAAGTTGATGTTTAGTGATGGAGATACTGTGAGCAGGGTGGAGGCTATTAGCTTGCATGCTTGCTGTAGTCCACAAAATGGTTAGGTGTCTTTAACCTTTATTTCTTGGTCTAAAACTATTAACTCTGTGTTCCACTGATAGTAAATGATGGTGTATTACTAACACAAGACTGCTTTGGATTATGTATTTTTTATGAGCTTGCACTTTCAGTACTTTAGCCTAATTCTGAAGTTTCTATTTCTGAGTAGAGGGTTTAGTTGCTTTAACCCATTAACTCTTGGTGGTCATTGTCTGAGACATCTCAGGTTCTACTGTTTTACTCTGCAATGCATTGTTTTAAGGGATAGGTCTCCAGCAAGGAACACTTAATTGAAATACAGCACAAACAGGAGAGTGCTGAAGAATTGCTTGAAGATTTAATCTTGCTGCAAAGTAACAAGAAGCTTTTTGCAGCCAAGATGCAGAAAAACAACTGCCAGTGTTTCCTCAGGTCTCTTTGTTCTCACACTAAACAGTGGGATTATTTTTCTCTGAATGGACAGGCACATAAAAAGGCATAAGAGGTTGCTTTGCTTGTGAGCTTGTAAATTGCTGCTGTGAAGACTAAAGGTTTGTGTCCAGAAGCAGATCCATGATTGTGGTGGCAGATAGAAGGGATTAAAAAAAAGAACCGAACAAAACCATGCACAAAACATACCCCAATGTTAAAATAAACATGTCATTTCAGGAACCTGGGAAAGCATTTCTATTTGTTTATTTTTTATGAGTTCTTATGGTTATGATTACCCATTGGAAGCTTTATTTGATCTATGAAACCATAGATAATCTCTGTTATGGAACTGATAGGTTCTGAAAGAGACTTTTTAAAATCTGTGATGAAAGTGCTTTTAAATATCTTAATTTATAGTGAAATATACTCAAATTTGCAGACTGTAAATTCAATTTTAATTATTTCAGTTTAGTTAAACTTTCCTGGAAGGAATAATCGTAATGACATGTTAGCATATATACTATTAAAAGGCACAAGATGAATTATGATTAAAATTTGACCTTGGTGTTCATCCATCTCCTATAAAGAAAGAGACTGACGGTGTCATTTAGCCATCTTCAGAGCTGTGCTGCTAATATAGAATGCTGAAATAAATTACAGCACAAACTTGTTAGATTTCTCAGAAGTTAGCATATACATTTTAACAGAGGACTGGGATGTGCTGAGAAAAATGAACTTGTGTTGGGTGATATTTATCTTTGTTGCTTAGGCATGTGAGCTGTGTGGTCTAAACTGCACCTATGACTGTCAAGTCAGAAAAAGGCCAGTGTGGAAAGGGGGTTATTGTTATGCTGGTTGTGAATACTTTGGTGCATGGCCCCTTTAATCTGTGTTTATTTAGTATTCTTTGTCAATTTACCTCTCTGTAACCAAAAGGTGTCGATGTTGAATCAGGTTTGAGACCTTCAGCTTGCCAGTTTTGCACAGTCATTAAAATAAAAGGGTGAGGGAGAAGCTGCCCTATAGTCTGTGGGCCAGGACTTTATTTCAAAAGAATTACCTTTCAAGGGTGGTATGTTACTGAAGCAGTTAATGCTACTCTGGTGTGTGGATTTCAGTCTTTGGAATTTGATGTGGTTGTTTCTTTTTTATAAGCCATGCTGACAGAATTTTGTAATTTCATGTTTCTGCATGAGTACTTATCAAACTTGGGGATGTTCTGTGGTTTTGGACAGAAAGAAAGCTTTCCTGAGACATAACCTTTACTGTTCCTTGCCTTCTGGCAGATAAAAAAAGATTAAATAAAACTAGACAGCTCTGACCTTTTCTGAGGAGGGAGGGAATGATGCTGGAAGGTATGTTAAAAAAAAAAAAATATTTTTTTTCCTTTACAGTTTTAGCAGTCCTCAGCCTCAGTATAAAGCCTGTTAAATTCTAATGGAGAAGTTGTACAACATCAGGTGTGCTGAATTCACTTGTGGTGTTTCTTGTGTGATGCTGCATCAGAAACATTCAGCTGGAGTGTGAGTCATTATAGGAACAGTTGTGAGGTAGTTGCCTGCTTGGCTCTGGCTAGATGAACTGTGAAAGCACATACCTCCCTCCTCACTGCTTTACAGCAAAGGGCCTGGTAAAAGTACAAAATCTCAGCATCCTCTTTTATATTTATGCTTCCATAAATGTTGTTTTAAATGGTTGCAAATATTAACAATGGCATTTTTACCTCTTTATAGGAAATATGTGGTGTTTTCTGTTGAATGTGGCTCCAGTAATGAACTGGAATAACTGGTTTTAGCTATGTATTCTGTACAGATCATGAAGCATGGGTTTGGGGTTGATCAACATTTTCTTCCAAACATTAAACACATGCAGTTCCCATAGAAGTGGTGGTTAATAGCACTGCTCAGTGTACAGAAGCTTTGTGTTTTCAGGTGCATGATGTCTTTTCTGCCATGTTACACATTTTTAAAGTGCTCTTTCCTTCTGTATAGCAAAGGAGAATCTACTGTGTTCAAGGCTCATACGGGAACTGTAAGAAGTGTTCATTTCTCCAATGATGGCCAGTCCTTAGTTACAGCTTCTGATGATAAAACAATCAAAGTGTGGATGGTTCACAGACAGAAGTTTCTCTTCTCACTTAGTCAACACATAAACTGGGTTCGCTGTGCCAGGTAAGTATGGCTTTCTGACAAAGAGGTGGGGACTTACCCCACAAAACGGAGACTGAGTATTATGGTCTTGTGTAACACATTTCTATTCAGGATGATTCAGGTGTGTCTAGTGATTGAAGTCTGTTGTTAACTGGCAGAGATGCTTTTGAATAATAGTTGTGTACCCACTTTGTGTTTCTTCGGTGATCTTTAAGTGGAGACTTTCCTGCTTAATGATTTGTTCTGTTTTGGTTTTGCCTGTTATGGAGACTTCTGCATCTTGAACTTGCTAATAGAAGCAAAATGAGAGATTTATATGGCTATTTCAGCTTAGTTACTTATAGACTTGTCATGCCTCCAGTTAAAATATTCACCTGTGCTCCCTCCAAAATGCTGAAAGAATAAAAACATTATTTCCTGATAACTGTTTCAGATTTGGTTTTCAGTTGTCCATTGTGGTTGTTTTGAGGGGTTCTTATGTATATTTCCTTTTAGGATACATAGTTTTTCTGTGGGTGAAAAGTTCATTATAGTTCTTGAATATGGTGGTGGCAGTGGCTGGTAGTCCTACCGATGCCCACAGTAGAGCAGAAAGAATGTTTTTCCAGTATGTATTAGAATGTTCTCTAGTTAAGGACTCAAGTCCTGATCCTGTAAAATGTGTGCTTCTGAAGAGAGATACTGATCTGTCTTGTATATGAAATTCTGAGATAGCTTAATGCATTCTTCTAAGGCACTTGAATGATGAAGCTTTTCCTGCTGCAGCTTTTATCTTGGGAGCAATTGTATTGCTCTGAATGCTTGTGGCAAAGGTAGGAATTGTTTTGAATCACAGTAGAGAAACAACTTGAGATATACTTAAATTGAAACAAGTAGGAAAAGAGATCTTAAGTCAGTCTCAAGACTTTCCTGAGGGTTATTTTATGTGTTTGTGGAATTAGGGATAGCTTGAGGACGTACAGCTTGCTTTGTTTTTCCCTCAACGTGGAGTAATTGGATTTTTAGTTTCACTGATGCCAGTGTGACTTCTTGAAATGAGGTGTATTTACTGACATACCTTGACAACTGGCCAAATCCATTTGACCCTGTACACCTTTTGGGGGCATTTCTTAATTGCTATAACTCTTATCTTAGATTTTCTCCTGATGGACGATTGATAGTGTCAGCCAGTGATGATAAAACTGTCAAACTGTGGGATAAAACCAGCAGAGAATGTATACACTCCTTCTGTGAGCATGGGGGGTAAGTACCTTGTGGTGCATGAGGACCAGCCTACTTGTGATTTCTGAAATGGGGATGCCTGGTCAATGTACACCTGGTTTTGTGACTGCAGTCAAAGGTCCTTGTCCTGGAAATCTTTTCTACCTCTTAAAAATTCATTAGCACTATTACAAAGACAGTCAGCAGAGAATGAGATGCAAAAGGAGTTCCCAGAATTGCTTTGACCTTTTTATGACTTCTCCAGATTGAAACCTTGAGGATCATGTTTTCATAACTGTCCCACATGTCAATCTTAGGTTCTTCATTCTTATTTATTTTTGGAGATTGTTGAATTTAGGGTAAGAGATAAATTTGGTAAGAGAGAAATCCCCTTGCGTTCTAGCTGGCCCTCAGAGATCAGAGGGGCTAGGGGAGGCTGGACATATCCCTTAATAGGTATGACAGTTGAGACCGTGATTATAAGTCTGACCCAGCCCAAACAGCCTATACTGTAAGTCTGGTTGCATTCAAGAGAAGCAGTCAGATTCATGAATAGTAAAGTTTATTTTTTGTGCAACATTTACAGATTCTTTAAGATTGTCTACGATAAATGCACAAACTGCAGGTTGGCTATATAGCACTGTAAAAAAAAAAAAAAAAAAAAAAAAAAAAAAAAAAAAACACAGTTCATGGGTATACACTCAACATAGCCAAGGGGAATCTTACCAAAAGGTGTCCCTTCTGGGGGGGGGTGTGAGAGCACAAACCCATCGATCTGTCCCTCTAATTCGGTGTCGGATTATTGTCCCCCCCAAGTTAGATACAAATTTGGGGTACTATTTATTGTAGCAGGTATGGTGAGTGGGTGGGACTGTAGTCAAATCATTATTTTATCATTACTACATAATTAGTTTCATGGTGCCAAGGGGTACAGATGGTTTTTGTGGGGAAAAAAAAAGGGAAGATGGGAAGCAAGGTCAAGTTGACATGATAGGTGCAGCTGGATTGTCTGGGAAGGAAGGGAAGATGAGGCACAGAGTTGGCAGGTTGCTACAAAAAAATCATATTTCAAGGGAGTCAAGCTGAACAGGAGATAAATAATTTAAGCATCTCTGTTAGGTATTGGAAGTTAGATATTGTAAATTATTTATCTCTTCTAGCTATGTTAAGCGCTCTTATTTTGCTCTGAGTTAAGTAAATTAAAAGAGTAAAAGTGTACTGGCAGATTGGCGCTTGGATGCTTTGTTTCATCCTCAAATTTTTGAATAATAAGGTTATTCCAAAACCCACTTTTTATTCAGAAAAACAGCTGTTGAATCAGGATTGGAGATTGAGCCACAGCAAAAAATAATGTCCTGAAACACAAAACTGGTTCTTAGAAGTGAGACTGGAATCTGCTGAATTTCTTACTGCATTGAATCTTTAAGTACAAAGTTGTGTTCTTTCCAGATAATATACAGTGACATTAAGATAAATTCAGACAGCATTATTTTTTCCAGTACTCCTAAGAATAGAGCTTCTCCAAACAACTTATTGAAATATTTTAACTTCTTCAGCATTTGTTACAAGAATACTCAAAGAATAATTAATTTTATCCTATTTGTTGTGTGGATTGGGTGAGGAGTTACAAGATGCTCTTCACTGAAGGTTTTACTGTACTTGTGTGTTCAAAATAAAAATTGATTGCATACAGGTTCAGAAAGGAACTTGGTCTCAGCCTTGCTACCTTCCAAGTGGCAACATACGATTCCAGGCACAAATTCAGTAAATTCCACCTTAAAATTAGTTAAGCATAATAGTAGAAAAATCTCTTCAGTCTTGTACACACGACTCTAGAACTCCTGTTAATTTAGTAGGAGATATATTATACAAACATTGTGAACACTTGAAAATGTTGTGACAGTTGGATCCATCAGATTTTAGGAGGCTTGTGTCTGCAGCTCCTACACCTGTAATGCACAGTGTTGAAGATGGTAAGCTTAGATAAAATCCTGCAGTCTGCTTGGGGTTATAAGCAAGGGCTTAACCTGAAAATTTGTGTTGCTGAATTTCTCTTATCTATTCCTTTCTGTAGTGTTCAATGCATCATGATGTAGCTTCTTCCCTTTTTGAAAAGACCTCTTTGATCTTTAGCAACAGTTGAATATAAACAGTTGTCTTTAACTGCAATTTACAGGTTTGTGAATCATGTGGATTTTCATCCCAGTGGTACATGCATCGCTGCAGCTGGTACAGATAACACAGTGAAGGTGTGGGACGTTAGGATGAATAGACTTCTTCAACATTATCAAGGCAAGTTAAGCTCTTGGAAAAGGCAGGTCTTTCAACATATTGAAATGATTTGCTCTGAAGTCCAAGGACTGTTTCTCCATCTGCTGCTTTTTCAGAAAGGCATTGGGTTAGACCTGTCAGTGGAAGCTTTTTTTCCACCAAGCATCATGCTTTGCTTTGTGTTGTCTCCAAGACTGATTCTCATATATTGGTGAGAAACACCTCTGTTTTCTCCTCCCCTGCCCACCATCAAAGAGCAAAAAAGCCCCAATGCTGAAACTGCCCTGTGTTGCAGGTATGCATAGGTGTTATCTACGATGCCTCTTGGCTTCATATTCACTGTTCTTGAGGAGATGATGTGCAGTAAAAATGATGTGGCCTTGTCTCTGAATAAGCCCATAGGAGGAGTCAGATGCATTCCAGCAAATCAAAAGGTTAAGTTCTTCATGAGAAAATTAGGAAAGTTAACAAAAGAGGAAAAGCAAAACAAACCAATTGCAATTCTATACCATGATCCAGTATCTGTTTGATTTTCGGTTTCTAGAATTAGCTTTGACATTCTTATGACTTGTGCAGTTAGCTTGTCCTTGGAGTAGCTAGATCTTATATTTAGGAGTCTAAATCTCCACCCCACCCCTTTACCTTCCAAATGGCATGTCTTCCCATTACCTCTTCTTGTCAAACTGATTAGTGCTGCTGTTTCGTGGAACTGGATGGGAAAATGCCCTTCTCCCATCCCTGAAAGCTTCTTTGATCATCCTGTTTTGTGCGTATTAGTTTCCTGAGCCTAAATGTGGCTTTTCTTTCCTTTACTATTAACAATATTTTGGGCTGCTGTAGTATTTTGTAAATCTGTACTGTTTCCAGTGCTTTGTTTCCGTAGCTTATTAAACTTAATTTTGTTAGATTTTCATGAACACTGCTTCTGGCATGCTAGTAAAGCAGATCAGTGATACAGGGCTGGGGCTTGGTGTATTGTTCTTTCTGCCATCCACATCAAATGCCAAATGCTGTCAGTTTCTGCTGTGACAGCCTCACAGCTGAATGCCAGGCAGGAAAGACAGACTTGCAGTTGACTCCTAACTTTGTAAGTTGAGAGACAAAAATTGAGTTCTAAATTAAAGCTGTTGGTTATCCTGGCTTTATGTAACTGCAGTTGTTTTTTTTTTTAAAGTGCTTTTGACTGTGTATCCATTTAATCACAAGGCAATGAAAGAATTTGCAGGTTCTTGATACAAGTTGTCTAGTTTCCCTTATTACAGAAAGGCAGAGAAAGTGTAATGATGTTAAAGGAGCAGAGTTCTTTGCTTTGTCTTCCTTCTCAGCAATCTGTGAAAGCCTGGGCCTCTTCCAGTAGATAAAAGCAATGGGAGTTAGTCATCTCAAAGCACATGCAAATTGTCTGCAGAGAAGCTAGATATTAAGATTATGAAAATCCTTTGGGTTCTATAAAACAGTAAATAAAGTTCCCTGAAAAGAGATTATTATGGTGTAGAAACAGCCTGCAAACTTTTGAATGCTTTTGTAGTTCCCTTGTATATAGACGGCTGTTCTTTTGCTTTTTGCTTATAGATGGAAATACTATTGTGATCATCTGATCTGACTGTTAAGTACTGATCGCGACACCACTGTCATTAGAACAGGGTTTTTTCTTGGATAGAAAACAAAAAATCATATTCCTTATTTCTAGCATCAACTTCCTGCACTGTGTTTTATTCCTGGCGTGTGGGGTGCTACTGTCAAGTGTATTCTCTCTGGGTAGTCAAGGCAAGCACTCCTTGAGCTCATTCAACTGCAAACTTCCATGAGGTTCTTGAACTCTCATATAATGTGATTTATTTTATTTCTTCAGTTATTCTTATGGACTCGCAATCACTTCCGGTTCTCTGATAGTTAACAAAATCTGATGGAAATCAAACCTCTTGACAACTGTTGTTCCAGTTTGTTGGTATTGAGGTGGTACAATTTCAACAATGAATACTGAAGTATGATTCTTGTTAATTTGTGGCCCATATCAAAACTTGGAAATTTCTTTCTGAAGTCTTGTTGCTAAAATAGGTAGCCTCTTTAAACACTGAAACAGTGTCAGATTGTCCTTTAAGCTACTCTATCAGCTTTGCTACAGTGGCAAGATCTGCAGTGCATGTTTCCAGCCACAGTATAAATTGGCTCAAGAATCACCTCATTCTACGTTCTACTTACTGGTATTAAATTGTCTAAATCTAATGTGATTCAGGTTTGGCTGCCAGGTTTATTTTTTTTTTCTGTCTTGGAATTCTGTAGTTCCCCTGTATCCTACCCTTACTGAATGGTATTTTTGTCTGACATTCTTGCTGTTGAAGTGATCTTTCCCTGTTAGGAGTGTCATTTTTAACAGCTACTGTGTAAATCCTGATTGTGTATTAAACTTTGAACTAGAAAGTGTCATAGAAGCCAAAGAAACGTTGAATTGCAATGGTAGCTGTATGCAGTCGCTTCATCCACCTGTGGCTGCAACCTGATGTTTGTAACATGTTCTGGAGAGGTGTTTAAGTCCCGCTCTTCTGAGGGTTCACATGCAAGCCTAAATAGACTAAATCGGGTTTGGTTTTGCGTCTCTCCCCCGTGGAGCTGCAATCTCAGTCCCACTAGAGGGCATCTCTTCCTACGGTATGTGCTTACGCTGCCCGATTTCAAGGGAATCCATTTTAAAGATTGAGTTGCATCGAGGAGTTAATAGATAAGTAGCTCTGCTACAAACTCTTGCGTGTCAGAGTTGGGTTGTTTTCCAAAACTGATTAATCTTTCAGCAGTGTTGCTCTTGTTGCCAGGACTTGTTCCAACTGTGACATTGGTAAATGAAAATTGGAAGTAGAGAGCAAACTGCAAAACCTTCTGTATGCTGCATGCGTTTTTTTAGCAAAGTATGCTCTGGTCGCATTTACTGTACAGGAGAACAGATGCTTTATTCAATACTGTATTTGGCACTAACTTTTTTGTACAGCAGATAAACATTAGCCATCTTTGTAGAGGGATTATTGCCTGAGATTTTTTTCACCTGTGCAAAGCTGTGTGTAGGGTACCTCTGCAGGTCTATGGAAACAGCTCTAACCTTTTTTTTTTATTGCTGTCTAGAAAAACCAGTTGGTAATTTTATACAGTTCAGATGGGGCTGGATGGTGGTTATTTGTTCAGTAGGGACTGTGGCTGTGTCAGGTACTTCCTAATTTATCTTCTTACTGGTGGTTACTAAGTTGTGGTGTTCACCAATTTACATAAAAGTAGCATTGTCAGACCAGGGACAGTTATGTTCAGTCATTCTATAGGCTGGCATGACTCAATTTTAGTAGTTAACCCTCCAGTATAACTCCCTTAACTGACCATTAGTTAAACCCCCATTTTCTAGGGGTTTGCCAGCAGAAGGGTAGGCTTATAGCAACAAGTCACCAGGAGATGCCATCTCATGCTCCACTGGATTTATTGTCTAAAACATGAAATCAAGTGAGGTTGCATGATGTGTTGGCAAGTTTTTGGAGAGGTGTTGTGAATGGTCTTGTGGGAGGTATGAGCTGGTTTGGCAGAAGAGAGATGAAGTTTTCTCTGAGCTTATGATAGGTAAGAACTCCTTGGGCACAGAAGCTGACTGCTTACACAGCCACAGCCTGTGTAATTTCTTTCCATTATGAAAAGTTTTTTTTGCTGAAGCTGGAAATACTTTATTCACTGTCTGGAACTTAGAGGATATATCACTAACGTTATCTATTTCTGGTGTGATTCCTTTTAGGACTTGCTTTAGTTGACAAAATATGTTTGCTTTTATCTGGATATAAATACTAATGGGCTGAAGAATATTCCAAATCACTCAGAACAAAATTTTCAAAGGAGAAATGTATTTAGTATTCTTTCAGGGGGACAAACTCCACATAGACTTTTTCTGCTTTAATATATAGTGTAAAACAGGTCTGGGGGGTGGGTAGAGGAAGATCTAACTGTGTGGTAAAGCAGTATTCACCAACAAGAATAACTGTTTGTTACCTGTGTTGAGTTAAAGTTTTCTTTTGTGTTTTTTCATAGTCTGGGTCAAAAAGAATTATGTTCTCAGAAATTAAGCTGAGGTATCTAGTGTTACTGAGAATTTCAAAAGTAGATGCATTCCATTTTACAGTTGAACAAGATTATTTCATATTTCTGCTTCAAATCTATCTGCAAAAAAAAATATTGGTTCTAATGTCTTTAAAACTGTATTTTGAGTTTTTTTAACTTGCAGTTTGGATTTAAAATGCACAGTAGACTCTCAAGGGAACATAAATTTAGTTGGGGGGGATGTATTAGTAGTAGCAGATTTGAGATACCAGAACATTTGGAGGGCATGTAGTATAATTAAGTATAATTGGATAGTTAAAACCCTCTTCAAGCATAGTCCTAATATTCTGTAATGTCACATACGTTCAGAAAGCTGTGCATATGTAAAGTACTGCGTGTTCTTATAAATAAATATGTTCAATAGCCTGTTTTGTAAAAGTTCATGGAGGAGAGAAAAAAACCCTCTACATTAGGTAGATGTTTAATGTTACAGTAAACTTAAGGGTAGTTTGACTTTCTTACTAGAGCATTTTCTTTAGCTCTTTCCAAAATAACTCTTTGGCTTCATTTTCATGCAGGAAGGATTGCATTAGTGAAAGTTCACACTCTTGATAATTTGTCTACTCATGCTTGTTTTAAATTTTTTGGTGAGTCAGTTTAGATGTCTGAAGAAATGCTTATACTGGACAATTTTAAAGTTGTTGGTTCTTGTTTTCTAGTTTCTCTTAAATCCAGTCTCAGTTAGAGTTGAGTACTAAACCAAAAGAACCTGTGCAATGCCAACTTTGAGTGTCTTTCATCGTCATTTCAGTCGTCTTAATGTACTAACTTATAGATTTTAGTCTAGAATGACTTGGGAGTGAGAACAGCAGCTCCACAGTAGTAAAATATTTCAGTGTCCAGCTCTTTCAGAGAATCATATAGCACATAGTTACATGCACATATAGTTACATTTTGGGGCTATGCTGGAAGCTTTTTGTATCCTTAAATCTCCCAGAATAATTGGCAAAGCTTCCTTTTTTTTTTTTCTTTCAATAAAGTAGTGCCTATTTTTACAAGAATTGAGTACTGTGCTTGTTCTCTAGTGCTTTGAAGAGTTTGTGGAATGTTTTTCCAGTGATAATCTTCCTGTGAAACTTTGTAACAGAAAATGGAAATGTACTTTATTTTATTCTTTTGCCTTGAGCTTATGTAAACTAGTCTTGGTGACTATTATATATGTTTTTCTCATCCTTAGTGCACAGTGCTGTGGTAAACGGTCTTTCCTTTCATCCCTCTGGAAACTATCTCGTTACTGCTTCCAATGATTCAACCCTTAAAATTCTGGACTTGCTAGAAGGAAGACTTCTGTATACTCTTCATGGTCACCAGGTGAGGCAAAACCTTTTATACAGTAATGTACAAACCCACAGCAAACTGGGCACATCTGTACTTGAGCCTTTCATTCTTTGTGGCTAAAAGTTCCTTGCATAAAATGACAACGATAGTACTTCAAATTGTATTTGAGATCATCACTGTTTGGAAGGGAAGGCTTATGGGGAGAGAAGGCAGGAGTGAAGAGGATGGGAAATCAAGATAGAAAGGGAGCTCCAGTACTGAGGATATAAGTCTTAGACCTAAGGGACAGTCAGAGCTGTGGCCTAAACTGTAATCCTGGGTCTGCTGTACACTGTGTACTGCAACTCTGACTGTCTCCCTCTCTAGAGTGGGGCAAATAACACTTGCCCCCCCCCCCCAACATAGGTGTTTTGAAGATAAATGCTGTTGACCTGACAGGGGACTTAAGGACAGTAGTGGTAAAATGGAGGAAATATATTTTGGCATGTGATTTCCATTTTGTTAACAGATTGCATTAAATAACTGAAGGTGATAAATGTTGCTGGTTTGTTAAGTTTAACTGATTGGCCTATTAGTATTATGCTGCTGGGTGTGTTGCTTGGAGCTCTCTTTTTAAATGTTAAATGAAAATAAATAGACTAATTTCATTGTGCATGCTGAGTGGAGCTCAAAGGCATGAAAAAGCAGACCTGCTTTAAAGTTTCCTTTTCCAAAGGGACAAAGAGAACAGAAATTCTTAACTTGTCTCTGTTAAAATGGGGGATGAGTCTTTAAAAGCATCAAAACTAGCTGGGGAAAATCACAGCCTGAAGCTGCTTGAGGTGGTAGAGATGGCTCTGGGCAATAACGGTAGCTGTGTAATCTGCAAAATTGATAATTCTGGCTGCTTGTGACTTTTTGTGACTGCCTTGCCTGATGTCTAAAAAGGTCAAGTTTGTTCTGTAACTTCTCTTTTGCTGTGTATTAATAAACTTTTCTCCTTTTTATTTGTAATACTAATGGAAAAATGGTACAACCTCATACTTAAAGCTCTACTTCATGGAAAGATCTCATGAAAACTGACCAGAGGTTTCAAATGCTGAAAAGAATGGGGAGAAGATGACAGATGATGGTTATCCTAACACGTAAACCTTGACTGCATAAAACTCTCTTACTTTAAAAGCTGGACTAAGTGGATACCCTTATCAGATAGGGGCTGCAAAGCTTCTAACTGTTGTCTTAGTCTTGTTTTCATATTTGTCTCTTGTGTTAATTTGTCAAGTCAGTTCTGAGGAAGTAGCATTTGAGAGAAAGGGTAAGTGTGGAGGGACAGTGGATCTTTACATCTTTCATCCTTCCTGTGGGAAGGGATGTGCCTATTTATTACTGAGCAGGAGGCTGAACCTGTTTTCCATTTTCCTCCCTTTTGAGCTGTAGGCTGCTCCTCATTGAGTGCATGGCACAAAAAAAAGTTTAGCTTAGAGTCCAAAGCTAATGATGGTGATGGAGGTCTTCAGAATTAGATAAAGTCCCTTTAGGCTGGTGCTGTATTCCTCAGGGCTTCTGCAAAACAGTTGGTTTGAATCATCTATTCAGAAGTAGAGTTAAAACTCCATGTTTTTCCCACTGCTATTTCAGATGAGTGAGACATCATCTGCCACTCTCCTAGGCGTTTAACTGGCATTGGAAATGCTTTGACACTGGCACAGCTGAATAGTTGCCATTGTGGGATTATACTTCCTCCAGTCTGGAAACAAGTAGAAGCATGGAAGTGGCTGGTAGTGCTTTCTGGTCATCTTTTAAGGGTATTGCACGAAGATGGCTGTGGAACCAGTCCTAGTGTAGCCCTGGCTGGCATTTCCTCTGCTGGCATGTACTATATTGTTGTGGGCTAGTTCTTTTAATGCCTGCTTTAAGATAGCTCATTTTTCCACTAAAAGTGTGTGATAACGTGTGCTTCATTCACAGTAAGCAACTAGCAGTGACAACAGGCTGTGCTTTCATCAGAAGCTGCTGGGGTGGATTCCTGCACTGGCTGCTTCCCTAGCCTGCTCTGCTCAGATAAACCCAGGCTACTTAATACTGAGGGCTCTTTTTTTTTTTTCCCCCCCCTCTGTTCTCACTGTGATTTCTGCCCAATATCTTCAAGTGTCTAAAAATGAAGTGGGTGTGGATTTCTTGGTCATTAAGTAGATTTGCCTTTAAGAGAGCTATAGGTTAGTCACCAAATGAACAGCCTGTTCTGAAGACATTCTTGAGTTGTGACTTTGTGTGGGTGAATATGCTGGTTGAGACTCTGTTCCTACTCTGACAGTTGACTGCTGTTGTGTTGTTCTGGGAAGGCTGCATGCGAATGGACACTTGTAGGAAAAAAAAATATTAAGGTCCTTTAGACATACTCTGACGCAACTGCTGGAGTGCCAGGAATTTGTTAGCAGCTGATTAGCTGTAGTTTACATAGGAAGGATTGCCAAGTTTACATTGCTGTCTTTAATTGTAATGTAGCTGGCCCCTTTGTAGTAGAAGGATTGTTAGAGACAGGAGTTTGCAGCTTGGAGCTGACATCTTGCAGCTGCAAAATATCATTCTGTATTGTGCTGCATATTTTAGTTCTGGAGTGCTCCAAGCTGTGAAGTACTCTTGCCTAATTCCATACAGATGAGACACTGGGTTGGTATGTAGTTCCACCTCTGGTACTGAATCATTGTCGAAGAACAGAATGTTTTGGGGCCTGTAAGTCACGTCTGGAGAGTTGCTAGAGGAGAGCAGGTATGTACACAGTGCTTGTCTGCCCTTTGGGGTGGCTTGATTACAGCATTTCCAGACTGTCTTCCTTAGTGGAATGGAAGTTCTCAGTAAATATTTAGAAAACATCTGCATGGTTATGTTTATAAATAGGAAGACAGAAAATGCAAAGTTATGGTTCTCCAAACAACCTTGACTTGAACTGTGAAGTAGCTGCATTCTGCCTACCTGGGTGGCATAAGTGCTCTCTGCTTTGCTGGCTGACTAAAGAGCAAGATCTGAGCAGGTGCACAGGAAACAAATGTGCACCTTTGTTGTTTGCTGCCAGCAATACCTAGTTGACATTAAACATCTGTGCAGGCCTAGTCCTCTTTGAAGGATGTGAGGACATCTCAGAGCTGCACAGAACTGGACCAGCAAAGGGAGACAAGGATGTATTGCAAACAAGCAGTTGACTTAAGGTTAGCATTTCCAAGTGTTAAAAGAAAATACATGTGCTTTATTCTTCCCTTGTATTTTTTTTAAACTGAAGCTTTCAGGAGTTAAAAAGCTAATGAAGATTCAATTATAAGGTGCCAGTATAAATTTTCCCTATGTTAGCTCCAGCCCCCACTCTGGTGGAGGAAGGTGTACCCATGACAGTCTGTCTGTGTAGTAATACGGGGATTTTTCAAAGCTTGGTGTACTGTGAATTCTTGTGACCTTTTTTCAGAGGTATTCTGCATAAAAATGTTGCTTGTTGCCCTTGCCATCTGTCTGCTGTGCTTTTTCTCTTTGGTTCCCTTTCTCTCCTTTCTGTTATCAACCTCATTGTGTGCCGTTTCTAGGAATCTGCCCTTTTTTATCTAAACGTTTTTCTTGTCCTTGCTGTTGATGTGGATTCTTTCCACAGTCCCTATAGCTTTCTACTCCATTCCTACTTGAGGACAATACTCAGCTCTGTCCTGTACCTCTTGGTTTGCCAATGTGCAATACCTGTGCTGACACCTTTTCCCCTGTCCATATCATCTTTAGGGTATATGTGTTATTTGTAAAAAGACAACAAACATCCATGGCTTTCATAGCTTTTTTTTTTACTAGTTCTTACTGCTTTCTAATATTTGGATTTTTCTGTCTGATGCATCTGCAGGATATGTGCTGCATCCTGTACCAGACTGTGAAATAAGTGCGTGTTAACTTTGTCACCTGTTTTGCTCCTTTGTATTTCCTTCTGCCTGTCTTCTCTGAATTCAGCTTTCTTTTCCTACTAAGATCCTGCTATTCTTTCACCTTTTCTGATGAGATTGACTAGATCTGCACAACTGTGCATTTCCATGCTGCAAGTTCATCACTGATGCTGCGATACAGGCTTGGTGATCCCTACTTAACCAAAGGTGTGTTAATTTGAATTGGTCTTCACTGAACTCTTCACTGCTTTCTCTGATGCTGAAATCAAGTGATAGATGAAAACCACAAATGCAACATCTTGTCTCAGACCTTCTATGTTCTTTGGCACTAGAATACATTTATCAAGTGTCTTACTTGCTCTTGGTGTTTTCCTAATTGTCTTGATCACTTCCTCTTTGCATCTTTTGCTCATCTACCATCTGTCATTTCAATGTCTATCTGTCCAAGTGTGACTTGTCATCTTCTCCTGTGCCATGAAGTAGTTAAAAGCACTGTGGACAGTGGCAACAACTGCTCTGTTTATTATTCTTTCTTTCATGCCTTGAACCGATGATCCCAGTGTGTTGGTTGCTGCTGGATTTGCTTCTCAAACTTTGTCATCATTCATCTCCTTTTTCTTTTTGCACTAGTTAATCTATTACAGGAGTTTGACTGAACATACTGGCTCATATCTTCCTATTTCTACACCTCCTTTTGTGGGCAGTGGAAGAGGAAGCTCTCCTTTAATTCAAATATCTGCATCCTCTAGATATACCTTGTCCTAGCTCTTGACACCTCTCTTTCTAACCTGGCTCTTGTCTGCTATGCATTAGTTTCTTCTAGGATAAAAAAAAAAATCTACACTTGACCCCACTTGTCTCTCTAGCTACCTTCCCTCTGCCTTGTTTCGTTGTGCAGACTGTGCATCAGTAAACTGCTCTCCTCTGGTTTATTCCTGGACCCTCTCCAGCCTGGCTCTTGTTTCTTCTGTTATGCTGAAGCCAAAATGTTAGCTCTGTTCCTAGCTGAAGCTCCCAAGTCTGGCCTCCCCTGACTTGAATTGACTGTTGGTGTTGGCCCTGCTATTCTTGAAATCCTGTGCCTTCTGTCCTCCAGCAGTTCTATGGGGGAGGAAGTGGTGTTCAAGAGGGCTTTCTCTGTGA